CATGTTCTTTTTTATGCTGCTCAGCAGCTGATTCTCTTGCTCGTGTTTATATGTATTGATTGTTTGTGGATTTTGCTTTATATTGTCTGCGCTGTAAAACAAATTGTCCCTTGGGGATAATGGAGCCACTTTCTCTAAAGGAATATATTCTTTATTGTGCTGAAGAGATTTGCTCCTCCTCCAGTCTAACTTTCTTCTTGTTGGCTAAAATTAGGAAACATTTTCAGTCGGAGGATTGCACTACACTGTATGTTACACTAGCACTTTGAATTTAGTCTTGACCCACCCCCAGATCCTCCCATCGGGGTTCAGCTATTGTGATGCTACCGCTGCATAAAAACAACATTGTACAGCTGCACAATGGTTTAATGAGGAGTTCCTCTTCAACGCTATAACAATGTAAGCTGAGTAATGCCAATACATGTGTGCTAAGTTTTGTCTTAGCTTGAGATATTTCACTTCCACATTCAACTTATAGGCAATTCTTCACCAGGTGTCTTCTCTGGCTTTTTCAATAGCTCCTCGCTATTGCAACAGATTTTATCCTCAGTGTTTGATAGAGCTGTAATTCAAGGTCACTGGATTAAGAGGCATGTTCTTTCCCTGTGGTTTTGGTGGTGCAGATGAGGAATGCGACGGTCGCCCCTTCTTGCTTACTGAAGTGTGGTGTGAATGCAGTTAGTCAGATTGTTTAAGCCTGAATCACTTTAAGCAGATAACATAAACCAGAGTTTGCTTTTGTGAAACCAGAGCAATCCTGAAGTCACTTATTGGCTAACTTGAGAAAATCCTGAATTTTTTAAACCTGCTTCATGAAACAGCCCCCAGCAGGTTTTAAAAAGTTCATGATGTGAAAACAAACTGTACAGTCAGTAGATTTACAAAAAGCTATAAAAGGGACACACATTATTATAGCTGTTCCTCTTCACCTGAGAATAATTTTCCAGTTTGATGTACAGTGTGAATTAGAATGGAAACATATCTCATTTAGACTATTTGCTGTGCTCCTGTGTTTACCCTGAATTTAATCTCAGTTAAACACGGAATGAAAGATTTCTGGCCCCAACAGCTACAGAATGAAGGTTTGAAGCTGATCTTTTAAAGAAACCCTGCATAAATATTAATCTTTGGATTGTGAGTTTTCTGAAGGCTTGATGCCTAGTAGCAGAATGATTAATGGCCCATTAAATAAATTCAGAAGGAACTGGTAGAGCATTTTAACAGAAATACATAGAACTGTTACAAACATGATTGCTTAATACAGTACCTCATCTTTTTGTCTCAAATTTCTAAACATGCAGTTGTCGTGTGTCATATACTGCAATATTTTTAGTTTAAAAGGTGTCTTCAGGATTACAGCTGTCAATATGAATATATATCAGTAATTGAAACTCTTATCCTCCCACACATATTAATTGATCAGAAGCACAGGGTAAACAACAGAACGATTGACTTGTGTGAGCAGCCTGATGTATGCAAGCACTGCAATGAAGGAGTGTTTAATTGACTCGTTACGGATGTTTGATACACAGAATCTGATCTGTTGAGATGCAATATCGAACAGAAAATTTTACTATTTTAAAAGACCAAACAAGAACCTACAGTTCAGCTATATGTATGGTTCATATAAATACCCCCTAGGATGCCACATTGAAACTGAGATGAAGAACTGCTTTTGAAGGTGAAACAAAACTTCAAGAACCACCTGATTCTGTGAGATGTGAAACTGTTCGGCCTCTCTGGGTCCACATATGTGGGCAGTGATTCCATTAGACATTAGTGGATGACAGAAGTTTGATATCGTTAATATGCCAGTGAGAGATACCTTTCCTTTAACAGAAAGCCGAAACTCCAGCATTGCTGTTTCCACTGAATTAATGATTAGACCAAGTGGAACAGACTGAAGTCAGCATTAAAGAGTCTTAACATAACATTTTTAAATGAAAGATTACATTTTTCATTTTTACACACCAGTTTGAAAATGCTGTTTATCTTGGCTTTGCATTGTTCCCTTGTGATACCTTATGTATGGATATGCATATGGTGATTATGTTGTTCAGGAAAATAATTTTAATATTCCAAAAACAGTTACTATTTATTGATGGAAGGCTGGGGTATCTCATGACAAGACCAGGTGAGAAACCCAGGTAACCCTCATTCATATAAACCCAGTGGTACTCAACCAGACTAACAGGCTAGGGATTTGATCACATTAATCAGCGTGAAACATCTGTCTTCCTACATGGTTCAAAGTAAAATTTCTGTTCTCCTACCAATTCCTACTTACAGAACCAGTATGTGTTTGAAGCAAAGGTGAATAGTTTAGCAAGTGTACAGTGTCATCTACGGTAAGTTAAATCAGACAGACTAGAAAAACAGAAGAAAAATGAAAAATAAACAAAAAAGAAACTTGAAATCCTTCAAACATTTTTTTCATTAAATAATACTATTTACACAGCTATACAGACTCCAGGCTGAGCAGAGCAGAAATGACTGCTGTCAAACAGTAAGGTTCCCAGCATGATCCCGATGACTCAGCCTTAATACACAGCTGAGTCTTCAGAGCTGAGTGATTCTCTTGATTGAAACTGTAGTGATGGCGTTAAAGGTCCTCTCCCATCTTTTGAGCACACCAGTGGAAGTGCCAGGCAGAAAAATGTTCTTCCATGGAATATCATCCTCCTGGCCTTGTCTATAAAGATTCTCGCTTAAGATTAATTTTACTAAAGAGGATCACAGGCTGTAACTTTACAAGAAACATTTCAAAATAAAATTTAATTTAAGGATTTCAATTCTCATCAGAGACTTTTTGGGTGAGCTGCATAACTTAGGAGCTTAGGAACCTGATAAAAACTTTTTAACTGCAAAGTGAAATTCCCTTTTCATTATTTGAAATGTATGCCTCATTTTCAGTACTGATAATGGGGAAGCATTTTCTGACAATTTGAATCATATAACTTTCCACTGCATAAGTAGTTGACTTGCTGATTGCTTATAGTGTAGCAGTACATGCTACAGTAAGCTATGCATTCACTCCAGAATATCATTCAGATGAACTTTATAAGAGGCATCCACAGATGAATAATGATAAGGTTTATGTGAGCAAACATTGACAGCCTTTAATATAAGATAATATCACGTGTACCCCAACTTGCTCTCCATGAGACACACGGACAAGGGGAGAAGCTTGGGGTCAGAGCGCAGGGTCAGCCATTTATACGGCGCCCCTGGAGCAGTTGGGGTTAAGGGCCTGGCTCAGGGGCCCAGTGGAGTAGGATTCCTCTGCCGGCTGCGGGATACGAACCAGCAACCTTCCAGCCACAGGCGCAGATCCTGAGCCACAGAGCCACCGCTCCTCCCTTATTGGGATAATAAGGGATGTCCCTTATTAGAAGCCCATAGCTTTCTTTATATCACAACAAATGCATCACTGATCACCAGTTATCCCACTTAAAAGGTGCTGAGAGGTTCAGGGAGTCAGAATATCACATGAAGCTCTTCTATCTTTTTTTCCTAAAACCAACATGCAGACACAGCACATATCAGGTTCTACTAGATAGATACAGTCCATTACTACTCTAGCACAATTTTTATGTCTAGATGTGCATACTCTCACTAATGACTTCACTTGCATTACACATGCTGTTTTGAAACATTGTCAGTTTCAATTTAAAATCTGATTTACTTGGATTCCACGAAATTGTCAGTGGTTTCCAGATATAATAAAAAATGCAATATTAAAGAGCATTTCTAGATTACGAAGATAAACAATCTTATAGTGAGATTCTCTTTGGTGCAATATAAGTAAAGGAAAATAAGACGTACAGTAAGTTACACATGTTTTACAGGGGATTTGATCATTAAGGTGGGATCTCACCATGCCACTCTTCGTATCCTAAAATTAGAGCAGTTTGGGAAAGGATGAGAAGACTATGTAAAGTACATTACCAGAGACACAAGTGTAAAACTGTTCTCTTATAAGTCCTTCTGTCCCATGGGACCAGGGCACTTTCTGGATGCAAATCTACCTGAGACTGTGAAACTCTCAATCACAAAGAAAAACTCACAAGTGTCGCCCCACAAGGTGTAAGGATACATTTTAGAAGCCTCGATACTATACAGTATGTAAGATGGTAACATCTAATTTAAAGATCCTTATAATAGTTATTCAAATAAGACTTTGTGAATGTGGTGTAAAACTATGCCTGGACCTTGTTATCATGTAAAAGGAGTCACTTCTCCTTTTTTGGTGTAATCATTATAAAATTTTCTACATTGAATATCAGACTGCAATTCACAAAACTTTACTTTCTACTTGAGAATTAATTTACACAACTGAACTAAAAATAATTAAAAAGGCAAACAAAATCAAGGAGCTATCTATATCAAAGGTCACTTGAAAACCTATGGAGACAGTTTCCATTTATGAATGACTGGTGCAGCATAGCAAGTGTTGTATGGATGCATTCTTAATATTTTACAAATGTGTGCACTTTAAATGAAGGGAAGACGACAGTTAATCAGCAGTTTAGAGGATCACTTAATGCTCTAATGGAAAATCATTCCACTCACTGCAAATCGGTTCAGCTGGTGTAGTATGAAACAACATAAATAGCCAGTAAATCTCTCTGAGGAAAACTCAAAAGAAAATAACTTGTTCTCAGTGCAGCAAATTAATGGATTGTTGATACAGCAGGGGGTAGCAATGACTAACCTTGCTTCTGTGTCTTCCCTCTGGCCCCCCAGGACAGGAGAACAAATTGTGATTGATTGTTTATTGTTCTTCAGCTCGCATAAGGCCTGATAAATACTTCAAACCCTGCTGCCATCAGGAAATGCCAAATGCCCTTTTTTAATTATGACTTTCTATTTTCTGAAGCCCTTTACTGGTTTTGGAATTCCAGATTGGGAGATAAATTGGGATTTTCATTTGTTTGGGAGCTTCTTCAGTGGTGCTCAAGAAACCGCAGCTCTGCTGTGGGTTGCAACAGCCGGTCAACTCCAAAGAGACGCACACATTTATTATAAGGAAACGCAAGACGTCACAATTTTAACACTTGCCAGTGTACCACATCCTGACCTAAATCTAGCTGTATCTTGCTTTTAAAATATTCACTTAATCAATTGAAATTGGCTAGAGAAATACAATATACTGAGAGGCAAAAAAACATGACAAATGCTGTTTGTGAGTTCTAATACTCATTTGTTACCTTTGTGCCTCTCACAAATATAGGAAAATATTTTATTAACATATTCAAATATTGAAAATACTATTTTTGACAAAAACAAATTGTCTTACTGCACTTTTGTCAATATGTCAATGAGCCCCACAATCAAATTTTAATAAAAAAGAATACATCTTTAAAATATATTTCTTTATATGTGGAAAAATACTTCAATATTTTCAGGCATATGTAATGTTACTATATATACATATTTTTCAATGATGTGTTTTACCACCATGCTTTGTATGAAGTGGTAAGGTGAGTTTCTGGACTGCATGAAACATGGAAAGACTGTATTATATTACATATTACACAGTGATTTTGGAAAGCACAAACACAAACAAAAAGTGCTGGAGGTGGAGTTCAATATAAATACCATTCTCTAAAACTGATAAAATGTTAAAATGTTTAGAACATATGGTACCTGTTAGAAATCTGTAGAAAGACCATTTAGGACATTTAAAATGAGTATTTGTTCAGCTCGAACAACTATCTTAAGTCAATATGGCAGATATGTTATTACAATTTTCACTTGTGACCAGTCTTTCAGCCATTGTCTGATCCCCTAAAGGAACCTCAGAGACCCAGTCAGACATGTAAGTGTGAAGCTATGAGGTGGTTGAGGTTGTTGTTATGTGGAGCCAGCTGGATGTATTCAGAAACAACTCCAAAGTGATGACCTGCAAGGCACAAGTGCAGCTGGACTAGCTGGACTAGAATTTACCTTCCGTCTGAATCCTTGATTAAGGCCAATGTTTTTCAAATTTAGTTCATCTAGCTTCCTTTTTGGAAAATAAATAAGTCCTGGTCCAATGCTGAGCGATGATTTTGAACGCTCGTTTTGCACAGATCGTAGTCCATGTGGGTGAGAGGGAGAGACTAGGCTGCAGCCAAATGCTACCAGGTATCTCATCTCGTGGGCGGAGGACGAGGAGTGCTCTGCTGTTGGGGGGGGTCCGCAGAGTTGAGAGTACAGCTATCCAACTCATCTGAATGTTCTCAGGCACCATGGTGGAGAGCGGGAAGTGCTTTTCTGCTGCTGGACTGCCCCCTGTATGCTCCTGTGTGGCTACAGCCGCGGCTCTGACCTGTCCCGTGAGCCAGTCTCTCCGCCCTCGGCTCCAGGGGTCCCCGGGGTGTAGGTGCTGCCTCTCCTGGGCTGGTAGGGGGGCAAGTCGCCAGGGGATAACTCTTCAGTGTCAGGGGGGTAAGGCGGAGGTGGGAGATCAAACCACGGAGGTCGGCTGTGAAGTGAATGCAGAAACAAAGTAAAAAAAACATATTTAGATGGGAGTCAACCAGAAAGTAATGCCCATTTTATTCCTGGTCGAAACTGTATTTGATGACTGATTATAATTGAGCTCTGTCCCCTGATTATTTGAAAACTCTGTAACAAGAACAGAGAACGTTAGATCCTGCAGCAATGAAAGTTTCAGTGTTTTTCTTTTGGGAATGACTTTTTATGAATATGAAGAAATTATTTTCAGGGTGACCCCTGTAAATATTTAGCCAATTATCTAGTTGAAGTTATTAATGATTTCACCCTTTCCTTCTTGACTAGTTGTTAAAGTTACCTTTGATATTTTATTGTTGTTTTTAATATGCAGACAGTCCATAGGAAAGAGCAACTCATATTAGAATGAAAGTTATATAACTAAAATATAATTTCAAAATCTTTGCGGCATTTCTAATAAGAGGTTTTTCCTTTTTCAGAATGCATGTAACCTGCAACACAGCAGAACAAATGGTACACTAACAGCAGAAAAACCAACTCCTCTCTACTGCAGCAGTGGCAACACAGATGGCATGATTTTAGTGTTAGAAACCATTTCCAAGCTGCAGTGCATATGCAACTAAAGATGGAACATTCAGAGATAAACAACCTATATGTCATCTTATTTTTTCCTGAAAGTAATTTTCCTAAAGTTACTTTTAAAGCATTACACTTTACATTTTAATTTTTAAATCAAATGGTATCATAATTTCTCCAAATTTTAAATGACCAATTGTGTCTTTCCATATCGGTTTACAGCAGCGATTCCTGGGCCAATGAGAGTGCAGACTGGCTCCTCTGATCTACCCACCCATCAAGCCCTTTTGGCATGCTGCATGAGCTACAGCAAAGATGTGGACAGCCCTGACCCTCAACCTAGGAAGGTTCAGGGGTTTGTCTCCTCATGTGAGAGGAAGTAGTCAAAATACATAATACAGCCTGAGGTGGGTCTGCAGGACAGCATGATTGAAAGGCAGATTCGCACATCTGTGTGAAGCACTGCATAATAATTTCAGTAACATCTAATGCAACACGCGTGTCAGCTATCGATCTTCTTGGAGCTGTGAAGGGTTGAGTGCAGCATGCTGAACAGAACCGTAGTATACTGCAGTAGGCTTTCCATTGACGTGAATTTTGATGCACATTTTGACGCGTATTCTAGATATCTGTTTTGTATAGTTGGCTAGTGAGGGTATGCACAAATTTGAATTCACAACCTTTTGGTTGGATTCATCTTTACCAGTTAAGCCACTCAGGAATCTTTCTTCAAAGATCATTTTCAGTGAAAGATCTTTGTTTTTTAGATGCTGGGCCTCCATGAAACCTAGTAATAATATAATTACGGTCAAATGGCACATGCTAAAGATAAGACAATATTTCATATCACTGAAGTTGGTTTTTGTTTGTCACTCAACATATTTAATGACCACTTGTAGTCTTAATGGCTCATCCGAAGCATGGTATATCCTACATCATAGTGCCATGGTCAGCATGCAGGGGGCTTGGGACTGGAAATTCTTCTCCAGAGGAAAGAGTGCTGGTCTATCATCTCCACTTAAAGCAGCACCTGTTGTTTTCTTGTAACTTACCCATCCCAGCACTGACCACTCCCTGCCTTGGTTAGCTTCCAAGATCTAACAAGATCAGGTTTGAATGTGGCAATACTGCTGTTTATACACACGACCCTTGGATCATGGCGAATACCTTAGGTCCAGGACAGCCTGAGAGTACGATGGCGGTGAGTCCACAGCTGCACTGCGGGGATACAGGGCTCCGGAGAGCAGTTGGATGCCGCGGCTGGAGCTGTAGGAAGCGGAGGCCTGGTGCCTGTCCAGGATGACCAGCCGGGACAACAGCAAGGGCTGGTGCAGGCGCTGCAGGGGCTGCCCAACACGGGGCAGGAGGACACTGCGCTTCCTCTGGTGGTGTAGCACTAGGGCTAAGAGCGCCACCACCAGGACAAAGATGACAGCGCTGCCTATGACTGCATATGTGATACTGGGGTAGTAGCGTAGCCTGTAGTCCAGGGTCACGAAGTCCTGACCCGGGGCCTCTAGAAAAGAAAACACAAGTTGTTTAGAATAGCTACATATGACCTTCAATTCTATAAAATTATATACCAAAAATGCATGATGTATAGTATGGAATGTTAATGCTTGTCAGTTTCTTTGTTTTCATATTCCATGACTTCTCTTGCAACGTCACTGTGTTCAAGGATGACAGACAAGTATCTCTCTCAGGCTCTACAACCTAGTATAATGGATGCTGCTACTAAAGAGTCCTCATTTGGATCATGTCTGCTAACATCCCTCAGGCAACTAGCCTGACTGGAGTTCCTGAAACCTACAAATCCAGTAGAACTGATGCTTTGAACATTATTTTGTGGAAATCAACATATTTAGAGATTTATATGGGTAGATGTTCTAGTACCGGGGCAGCACTGTGGCTAGGAGGTTAGACTTGTTGGCTCCCGGAGCTGGGGTACGGGGTTTAATTCGGGACCTGTGGTGCTATCCTGGTGGAGTTTGCATGTTCCTCCTGTGTTCCTAGGGGTTTCTTCTGGGTGTTCCGACAGCCCCAAAACATACCGTTAGGTTAACTGGCTTCTGGGAAAATTGGTCCTGGAGTGAGTGTGTGTGTTTATGTCTGTGTGCCCTGTGATGGACTGGCATCAGGGTGTGCCCGCCTTGCATCTGTTGATTTTGGGGATAAGCTCCAGCCCCCCACGACCCTGAAGTGGATGAAGTGGTTAGTAAATGCAAGTGCAAAGTTATTAATAGTGGTAATAGGAATAAACCGCATACAAACTGGACTACAATTCCTGACATGCCCCCCATGAGAATCACGTCAAATTCACGGATATACAAACATTACCATATAGTACAGTACATCCATTACAGTATATTACTGATTAACGTTGTTCATCTAGGTGATATTGCTAGCACCACTTTTTTGCAACAGATCATTAAAATGATAATGCATAAATGTTTTCGAGTGGAGCATACAGTATAGCACCTCAACAGCAAATTGTGGTATTAACAATTTAAATATACTTATCTAAATAGAGCACAGACTTGTATTAGCTGCTGTGCAACCTTCTATAGAGTACATGATCAACAAAGTTATTCAAATTAAAACTTGTTTTAATCTGGCCTCTGTTTTTTTAATGTACGTGGTTATTTGCTTTTAAATACAGTACAATACTGTATGAATATAAGGCCACTACAGTATGTGTATAAATACAAAATATTTTTTTCTAATTAATATTTCTACACAATTACTAATAACTCTGTATACTGTGTGTAATTGTAAAAGGATAATTCTATGAAACGGGAGTGTGATGATATTAATGTTATAGAAAACATCATGTTACAATGACCTGGAAACATTTAGACCTGGTACAATTAAAAAATAGAACAAAAACATTTAAAGACCTTTTACTTTAGTTTTCCTTGTATGTCATCAATTTATATATATTATAAAGCGGGGTAAAAATATATACAAAACAAAGATTTGTAATAATTTTAAATTAACTAAGATCACAATGATATGAGTGAACAAGAAATCATTACTGCACATTCAGTCAATACAGCTTCTTCCCATCTGTTTCTCCAGGACACCAGACTCTCTGACAAGGATATTTAATGGAACGAAGGAACAGTATTGTTTTGAGTAGTTTGTTTCAATTTTTAAGATGACTTCCTCTCAAAAACAAAGCTTTGTACAGGAAGCAGTGACAAATCGTAACCAAGGTTGCCGTTAGTTCTGTTGAGCCATTTCTTTTTCACAAAGGAGGTAAAAGTGGAGCGAGGGGGGAGCTATATTTCTTGTTATTCTTATTGTTCTAGGCTGTACAATACAAATTAGTTTTGTACCAGAGTGTGCAGAAAAATACCAACTGGGAGCTAAAAAAAGAGATTTACACTTGTAGTTACGACAGCCATAGCAACTAATGATTACTCTGTTGTCTACCTGGCCTGTTGAACTGCAAAGTGTAGCCCTTGAAACCCCCCCATTGGCTTTCACCTCCAGTCCCTGTTGCTATGCTTCAGCAGCAGACTCTGCTTCACAAAAGACCAGTCAGCAGGGGGTGACTCGTTTAGGATAAAGGGAACAGGGAGCACCCTGCCAGAGAATAAACGAGGGCCCTGAATTGTTAGTCCGTCAACTCATGCATATTTACAGGCCCATTACAGCCACAGAGGCTAATTACTGTACTGCAAGTAAACCTCAGTAAAGGCTGCCAATTTCATGTAAAACAGGGGACTTCATTATTCTCTCTGTGTATTATATTAAAAGCAAAAAAACAAAACAAGGAAATGTTTTGCAATGTGAAAGACTATGTGTTTTGAAGTCTTTAATTGCTGTTCTTGAGCTGGGCAAAGAAAGAAGCATTTATTTTTCATCCAATTATTTCTTTCTCCTCCCAACTGTCTCAGCAATGCCAGCAATATCTTTTAATCTCACAACTAAATCTATAATTATTCCTGTCTTGTTTCTTTCTTCTCTTTGTAATCCACTTTAGGGTGCAGGACTGCCTTTCTCTCCTTCAGTTCCAGATTAAAATGGCAGTGATGGATTCTTATTGTCTACATTCTTTCAGTACATGCTGTCAAGATTGAAAGATGTTTCTCTCAATACCTATTCTATACAATATGTTGTATTTGTAAATGTGAGAGTCCTGCTGCTGACAGGAACAATATTTTCAAATGAACTACTGTATGTCTCAGACATGGTCATCAAAGTGTTTTGCAGTAAAGGCTCAGGAGAAGAGTCCAGTATTTCAGAGTCCAGCAGGGGCACTGTAGTCTAGAGAGCATGGTTCTGTCACACTGGGGCCATTAGCCAACTGCAGTTATGATTCTCAAAGCACTGGCACACAACTGGCTCAGCTTCAGGGGGTCTGAACGGCTTTTAACAAGGCCTGGGTCAAGCTGGGCTCATGTCACTAGCTCACAGTGAATGCCATTCCCCAAGCAGAGAGACAGAAATGACTGAGAGACAGTGACCTATGTGGCTTCCTGGGTGCTTGCAGGCATTATGGTGCTGTCAGTGAGGGATGGTGCCTGTACTTTAATTCTGGACCTCCTGTATGGGGAAGTGTTGTTTGTGACATGTTAACTTAGACCTCTGCCTGATCAGAATTTAGTTATAAGAGAAATGGGACATCCAAGGCTCAATAATACTGAACTAAAGAAGAAATTGCTATGAAATGGAGAAAATATTGCTTATTGGTCCCACTTAGGTACCGCTCTGCTTAAAATGATACCCACTGTCAGACATCTTTTTGAATCCTGTTATTTTATAAAAGATAACAATCTCACACTGTGCAAGTTATTGTTCTGTGATCTGCTCTGAAACCAAGGTGTATGCTAAAGTGCTATCCTGGCATTCGCAGGCCTATAACAACATATTACCACACCACAGACAGACAGGCCTGATTATTATACAGACTTTGCTTCAGCAGGAGTATCTACAGCTGTTTCTAGATTACATGGATTTTGATATCATTAACAAGATTAAAATTATATGCACCTGTCCCTCAGTATTGTCATATTCTAAAATTAATTGGTAAAAAGTGCAATACTGTGTTGATGGTCAAACATTTAATACATTTCCAATTATTGTTACTGAGATTTAGTCTTTTTTAAAACACTAACAAATTTCCTCCAGGGTATGATAAAGCTTGAATTGAAAATAAATTGTTGCAGACTTGAATAGATTTACATACATTGCTAATTTTCCTCAAGCTCAATTTTCCATATTAAACCACATTTCATGGATGTGGTTTCTAATTTTTCAGTTCTCTGTCCTCTTAAAGGTTTTAGGTTACTGAAAATGAAGGACACAATTTACTAAAATTTCTATTTTTTTATTGAAAAGGCATTGACAGCAAATATTATTCCCCACTCTGCAGCTAAGCTCTGCCTAACTTTACATTTTATGTCTGCTCGCTAACATCCAACATTGTTTCCATTTCAAGAAAGTCTCTCCATATGGATTTCAAGATTTACAGTAGGAAGACAACAGTTTTTGCTACTACTATATTCTCCAGAGTCCTGTAGTGGTTTTAGTGTAAAGATACCACAAATTTCACAAAAAAAAAGATCAACACAGAAGTCCATCACTTCTCCATATTTCTTCAAGCAATTAGTTGCGTGGACAATAGTAAAGAGATTTCATGAAGCTGAAACAGAGCACCAGAGATGAAGCTAGGATTTGATTCTGATTTTTTGCTCGGCACTGTAAATAAAAATTGCTGTATGGTACTGTATTGCTGGCTTACTGAATTTGTTTTTTGAGACTTTGATAAGCTGCAGTGTGACACAAGTCCTATAATTATGTATTTAATTATAGTTTGGTGTTAAGTGGAGAGATGTTTAACATGTTTTGACAGTGTCTAGATATGGCTAGAGTTTGAAGATGGGTTTCTTTTTCTATGTCCACTATTTTGGACAAGAAAATGTTCTGCTCATACCAGATGCTCTTGTTAAATGGTAACTCCAGTTCGGAATTTTCTCAAGAGAAAAAATGGATGCTGGGGCAGGAATGCTGCAGTGCAGTGCAGTATTTATTACACTGGACTTCAACTTGTGCCCAATTTCACTTCTGTGTTCCTTCTGAAAATCTATGAGATTCAGAGAGGGGTACCACTGGGAGTGAAAGGTGATTTTGTGGGGTGTGGGAAATGTTCTTGTTTTGGTTTGTCATGTTTTGAAACATTTAAATTGATAATCAAGTGTGTTTGGGAAAAAAAAGAAAGGGCAGTCCAGGTCCTTCCTGCTAGTTGATCGAAGAAACGGACACTTGTGCTTCGTATTGCAATGGAAAAAAGCTCTGTCCATCTCATAGAAGAGCGTATGTGATAAATCCTTTGCGACTGATGTTTCCTTGGTAAGAGTGCAGATGCAGAATGAAGGACAGTACTGTGCTTGCTCAGACATACACATTTGCTTACACGAACAAGCACAACCGAGGAAAAAGAAAACTACTTAACAGTGCTTAGTTTTAATTTCCATTTCTGTTCTGATAGAATTTAAAACCATAGTACAA